GTACCAACAATTACCCACATGTGTGTATCTGGCAGTGCAGAAACGTATCGACAAAGGAAGACTCATCCATCCAGACGTCTATGTTGGAGCCAGAGTCTGACCCAGAATAAGACAAGAATTGTGGTTGGTAAGTCCAGACCTTTTTTGGCGATCCCATCACAAATGATTTGACATAATATTTCAGAAAACATCATAGAAAATAGAGAAAACTGAACAGGTTAAAACAATGACACAAAAGGAACGTAAAGATTTCTATATGCAGCACCAGGCAAAACTACATTAAACTTTTCTGCACTCCTAGAGAATTCACATATACAACAAAATGCATTTAACAACTAAAAAAGGGGATTTTGCAGAGTATCTCATCTTTAACAGGGTATCTTGGTTTTCTTTAGTTAATAATTTGGACTTATTTCTGATTGGGACTGATGAGAATCTCACAGAGYCTCCCTGTTCTGGTTGGCTGCAGTAATGTAAGGTGCTCCTCATGTCTCAGCTTCACCCATTCATGCTCATTCACTCATCGATGCAACTGGATTCTCCCACACAAACTCTCACATGTATGTGTACATTAACCACAAAAAACCTCCTCTGGGGTAATGACACACTGTGGCCACTCCTCCTCTGTCCACCCTGTAACTCAGACCATCGGATCCAAACAAGGGGACACAATGAGACCCTGAGGGGGTCTACATGTGTCCTCGTGACAACAACAAGGCGTTAGGGGATAACGTCGGAGGGTGACTTCAGGCTGCGGGCAGCTTGTTTCATAACTCGCTGACATGACTGGGCTGCTTCACTGCAGCAAAACAACACACACCCACCTCTGCAAGCACAAACATTTATCATCTGACTTTATTGGAAAAGGTTAAAAAAGATTAGTTTTTGTGAACAACCAAAACAAAACATGCGTGTGGTATAGTACCCACCTGGTTTCCCACCAAGAGGAGGTGCTCTCCTAACAGAAAGTCTTTCAACATGTCCTCCATCACCATCATGTGCTGCAGACACACACATGATAATAAATCAAAAAGATGGACAGACTTCTGGTGAACCCACACAGTATTGAACAGATTCTTTAGTTTTCAGCTTGAGGTTTCTACTCTTCGTACTTCCCACTCCAACAAAAACAGGTCAGTGGAAAAAGTAGGCCACCTTCCTTCCACTACACTCTTTCTGTAAATCTTAGCCTCCAACACATACAGGCAGAGAAAAGCCTAGAATAAAAAGAAGTGAGAAAAACTCATTTGGGTCGCACATTTGTGCTGCCAGAGTACGTCAGAGTGTTATATTGTGTGGTTTAATCACACTGAGACAGTGACAAACAGACACAACTCTGCATCAGCTGCACGTGTTTACATTTTATTTTAGGGGCTGTCATTAACAWAGTGACATTATGATGAAATTACAGGAAAAAATACATTTCTTCCAGGGTTAAAACTTTTATTTCTGTTGTTTTTTTTCTGTCATTTTAAAAGTAATTACAACAGTGGTTCTCAACTGGTCTGTCTACAGCAGAGGTGCCCAAAGTGGAGCCCGCGGGCCAAAATTGGCCTGCCAAGCCATTTGATTTGGTTTACAGCACTTGTCCTGGTTATTAGATGGTAATCTCAAGTCCTATGTAGAAACACTATATGTCCACTTTTCAACCATTGGTCCAACTATAGGTACAAGGAGCTAAAGTCAGGTAGTCTTAGCTCATGGTGCTCACTTTATCTTTGAATTATGTTAAGATTAGAGCTGTCAAATGATTAAAATTTAATCTGTTAATTCCAAGGTAGCTGTGAATTAATCATGATTAATCTTAAACTTAATATAAAACTTTATTGCATTTTGGTAAAATAAATTACTTGAGTTATTAATTAATATCTTTATTTTGAAATAAATTTGGTGCTTAAGAAATACATAAAACAAAAATAAATCATGAAAATATCACCTCGATTGCATAAAAGCAACAAAAAACAGGACCTAAAAAATGCTCCAAACATATTTGAGTCAGTTAAATTTTGTGCAGAAAAATGAGGTTAAATCAAGAATTCAAGGATTTTCATTCCAAATAAGTACTACATGAGGAATGAAAGATAGAGACTAAGATCACAGTTGTCAGCAAAACATAAATAAAATAAAATAAAATAAGTCATTAGAAGACAAAAAAAACTGTACATAATGTGTTACACACTGATTTT